GAGAGAGAGAGAGAGAGAGAGAGAGAGAGAGGGGGGGGGAGTGGAGAGAAAGGAAGAGAAAGATTTGTAGGCCTATTATGTGAAATCAATGAGATCTCCGTGTGTGGGCACATGATTCCCTTAAACCCAACTTCTATTAAATTTGTTCCTTTGCTTTCAGCGAGTATGAATACTAACCTTTCTTTTTAATACCTAGAATAAATCGTACAGTGAACTAGACCACATTCCTTGTCATCCCATTCTGAAAACTTTCAGCAACGTTATGCTCTTCGCTGTCGCAGCAAGCAAAAGACGGGAGTTCAATTCCGGCGCAGAGAAGTTTACATTAAAATCGGGTAAGTCTAAGTCGTTGTTCTTCTTGGACGTTGTAACCCACTCTGCCCGAGGTAGCCCTAACAGCCAGTGCTGAATCAGACTGTGTCCGTAATTACCTACATTATGTTGAAAGGAGCATAAAACATATACCGTACACTCAATCAGACCAATCATGAGACAGCAGATAAAACTCTTTTCTAAATGTGTTTTTTTCCGGTTGTCATTGTTGGGAAAAATACTAGCAGAAAAAATTAGCACTACTGTTATGAAATACAAATTGATCTAAACAACAAAACATAACAAAAAAGAGATGGAAAAAGCACCATACACTAAAACACAAGGGAACAATAAAAATGCTGTCGAAAGTTTCAAAGGTTTTTAAAAAAAATAAATCTTTAAAGAAATATTTTACAGCTAACATAATAATTTTTCTCACAAGATCTTGCTCATGAAATGTGATCTTTCCACTCATGACTGAGATCGAGGCTGGAATACGCTGTGGCTGATTCGGGGATGACAGCGTGACTTCATCAAGTTGTTGACAATCCACAGAGAAACATCGAAAACTAAAACCTACATTTTTGGATGTCATCAAGCATAAACAATAACAGGGATATGTCCTTTTATTTAAACCTGTAGTATGATTTTATGTCACAAAGTAAGCAATTTTTAAAGCTTATTTTTAAAACAGGCAGCTTTTAAGAGACTGGGTAAGCCATAGTTCCGATCATATTATATGAATATCTAAGTAAGCCATGCAAAATTCGGATAAGATATGCCATGAAGACGAGCATATGATAATATAATATTCTTAAAAGTAAGTAATAATTCATTGCATATGTCAAAAAAGAAAGTCTACGAAAGAATGCCATAATACATAGAGTAATCATAAACGCAAGTCTCAATTCATAGAATAATATTATTATGTTATTAACGAAAATCATAATTGACAGCATATGCCATGAAATAAAGTTTAGAAAGTCATAATTAATTGAATATGCCATAGAAGTAAGTCAGAATTCATAACAATCGTCTTAACAATAGATTAGACACATCTTTAAAGGTAAAAAATGAGCTCGCCAAGACTTCCAGGAAGTGGATGATTCATAAATCTGTATATCACCAGCATAAACATTGCGTTAATTTTGATTAAATTCGTTGCTGGCACTGACAAGTGACGGAATATATATTTTTACCCGTGTCTCCAAATGGTACTAGAAATTTGCAGAAAATGTGTCAACATGATATTAATTAATGTTACTTTTCAAGAAACTGGCACAAAAAGAAACCAAACACGAAAAATAAAAACCAACAAACAAGCAAACAAAAAGAGGAAAAGGGAATATTGTTTATACGTATGTGATGATGACGATGATTTTTTTGGGTTTCCTTAATGGGCCTGACGGACTTCACGAAGAAATCTTCGAGCGAGAGTGAGGCTCTTTTTCGGCTCCATTGTCAATATGCTTAGCGGCACCTCCACTGGTCCAAATAACTCCATTCGAATTGCCATTGTTCCTGGATATTCAAACATAATTATGTTTGATATCCCCCTTTTCATGGCTGCATCTTCGGCAACATGGGCTGAGCTCTTCATTTACAAAGTTCTTATACCATCTT